CAATTTCTCCAGAAGGGTTGGTGTAATTGTAGTAAAAAATTTAAACTAATTTTTGTTCTGTGCTTGTATTTTAGAAAATGTCTTTTTTCTCCCTGTATTATGAATTGTTATTTTACGAGGCATGTATGTTTGTTTGACAGATTTTGCATTTTATCATTCACTGAAAACAAGAAAAATGTACAAATTCGTTATATAACAACAATATACTAAAGTATACAGTAAATAATTTGAACAAGAAAGGTAAAGGTATATTTATGTATGATGTTAATAAGTAAATGTTGTTTTTAGGATGTAATTGTGGAAACCCCTCAAGGTTGTACTTACCATGGTAAAAGAAGTACTGTTCAAAAGGTAAGGTTATATGACATGATATCTGTGATTAAAAGGATACTAACTTTGTGTAGAAAACAACAGAGAAACATTCCTCTATGATTAGATGATATTATAGATATTTGAATTTAAAGGCAGCCATATTTAATTTTTTTAATTATGTTATCAGAATGTTTGAGGTGCTTATCAACATTTCTCTCTGCTCTTATGATTTTTAGATTGTTTTAGAACCTGTATAGAGGTTGAACTGATGGGTTGAGGAGGGACTGGGGGAGGATCCAAAATGTCATTCAACAAAGCTAGAACATTTCTGTAAAGACTGTTTTTTAAGCTGCAAAATGATTCATTATGTATTGGCTAAACATTGGTGAATTTTCTTGTAGTTTACTTGCTTATTGTGAAATTAATTCTTCTGAAATACTTAGCTGTTTCTGATTAATAAATACAAGATTTTCACACATATCACAAAACCTACTGAAAAAATAGGACTTTTTTTTTCTGTCATAGTATTCTTCTTTAGTTCTAAATATTATATACTTCCAATATCTTATAATTGACTATTAAACAAAATTTAGATTATGTACCATTAAATTTTATATTAATGCAGATTTGTGGAGTATCCATTATGCGTGCAGGAGAAACAATGGAACAGGCTCTCCGTGATTGTTTGAAAGATGTGCGATTGGGTAAAATTTTAATCCAAACCAATTTAGACACAGGAGAGCCAGAGGTAGGTAATAGTTGGAATATTTTAACTTGTTTTCGAGTAGTTTTAAATGGCAATTTTTATGATTTTGCTTTGAGTATACGATTACAGTTTTGGGAATACCTAGAAAAATATTCAACCTGAGTATCATTTGTAGACAGTAAAAAAACAAAATTGATTTTTAGAATAAATTGAAATAGTCTTAATTTATTTAAAAAGTAATAATGAATTATTATGACTACTGAAGAATACTGAACCAACTTTGTTAATGAAGGAGTGAGATAATGTTGATATCAAAAACATACATGCATAACCTAACAATATCCAACATTTAGATACCCTGAGAGTATTAAAAACCATATATATATATATATATGCGTGTGTGGGTATATGTACCTATGTATATCTATAGAGAGAGAGAAGTGAAGTAAAACCCCAATAAACTATATATGAGTGCTGTAATAGAAACACCTGTAGTTGAATATGATTTTCTGATACAGTACATTACCTCTTCTCACATAAATAGCTATTCTCGTTCAGTACTGCCCTCTATATGCAAAAATGTTTATGTATGCCACAAGCCTTTTACCTACCCTCCTTTGGAATTAACTGATTTTAATGCATCTCTCATGCAAATCATCATATAACAATCCTCCACCAATAAGAGTACGACACACTCTTGTTATGCATGAGACTACCTCTGTTCAATTCTACCTAACTATTACTTCCTGGTTGGAGGTGCTTGTGTTCAGATATTTTGTGCTTTTTGTGTGCCTCGCATTCATAAATTTAATAGTTCTAATTTCAAAGTGGATTTCTTTATTAATAATTTATGGTTATATTGCTGGTGCCTTTTACTTTAAATTCATTTTCCAGTCTTTATTATTTTATTTTTTTCTCTCACATTTGCATTTGTCTATTCAACATTTTTGATTGATGCATAATTTGAAATGAATTTTGAAGTTAATGTTACCACTTCGAGTATTACACCTCCTGCAAGCACTTTTCTCACAGGCTGCAGGTGTGGTTGATGCATCATTTGATTTATCAGTGATTATCCACTGAGAGATTGATCGTTATACAGTCAACTACCTTTGCCTGAATAAGCCAAACCTGTTCAGCCTGATAAAGATTTTGATAGATTTTTTTCACCACTGGATTTTGCAGTGGTCTTCCTATGCCCCACCTGAGGAATCCGCATAGCCTAATATGGCATTTTTAGACATGATTTCTCAGGTGTGTAATGTTTTATCCATTTTTCCAATTTCCTATGATCCCCATCCTTCTTTCTTACATGATAGTTCTTCTTCTCCTTATTTAGCCATCAGGCGACTGTCCATTTCTAGACTCTCAGCAGTTAGGGTCTATTTTACCATTTTGGGATCTTTGGCTGTTGCTTTACACACATGGTTTATCTTTTGTCGGGATTTTCTGGGTTGTGATGTGGCCTTGTACCAGGTTCATTTGCTGCCCACTTATCTCAGGGATTTACGTATGGGCCCTTTTCTTCAGCGGGCTTTTGAATCATGTGTGGAATCCATACATCAACACATTTCCCTTTCCTCTTTGGTAGCTCATTTGTCACAGTCAAAACCACGACAAGCGTGTATTCCCATTTCCCATCCTAGTTCTCAGCCTTTACCTGTTCCTTCTTCCAGGGGTTCCTGATCTCGTTGTTTTACTTGACATCGATGGGCACAACACCACCAATACCAGTGACTACCCAGTGGGTTCTGGTCCGGTGGGAGCTCGATTGTGTGAATTTATTTCTCTTTGGCGATCTTTTGCCACAGATCAGTGGGTTATTCGGGTTTTATCAGAGGGACTTGTACTCCAGTTTCTTTCCCTGCCTTCCTTGTCTCGGTTACTCATTTCCTTCCCTCTGCCTCAGTATCCCATCACCAATCAGTGTCTTTCAGAGGCAGTACAAAGCCTTTGAACCTGTTCATCGTCTTTTTCCAGGTTTTTATTCCATGCTGTTTGTTGTCTCCAAGAAAACTGGATACTGGCAGCCTGTAATAGATTTGACCCACCTTAATCAATTTTTCAGTCTCCCCCGTTTTACCATGGAATCAGTTGTCACCTTCAAGTGGGCCCTTTTCTCCAGGTTTGTGGATGACCAACATGGATGTTGCAAATGCTTACTTGCCTATCCCAATATCTCAGCAGTCTCAACCATATCTTTGGTTTGTTCATCCAAGGTTGATTTATCAGTTTTGCGCACTACCTTTTGGGCTTGCTTCGGCCCTGTATGTTTTTTGTCAGGTGTTCCAAGCATTTGCTCATCACCTACATGCTCTTGGGTTGCGCTTTATATCATTATCCATCATTATATGGACAAGTTGGCAGGTTAATGAAATTAGATATGTCATTCTTTCAACCTACCTAATATCTGATCCATTTAGGTGTTTTTTTTCAACACCCATCTCAGTTGGGCCTAACCTTTTCACTTTGACTGCGATCATCCATACCACTCCGTGTCTAGTCCTTCTGATTGCTCCTTACTGGCTAACTCAGCTATGGTTTCTGCAGCTTCTCCAGCTCCAACTTATCCATCCACTACCTCTTCCTCTGTCTCCCTCTCTTCTTCGTCAACCTTGGTCACTGGTGCTTCATCCAGCTTTTCTGTCCTCTGTCTTCATGCTTGGTTTTTATCTGGTCCTTGGTGAGGTGATCAGACTTGTCCTAACAAGTAGCTTCATTTCTGTCTCGTTCCATTCGCCCTTCCTCCATGGAAATTTATCAGTTTAAGTGGAATGTGTTCCACCATTGGTCTAGGCCAGAATTTTTCAGCTGATCGGCCCACTGTCCCTCGTATTGCAGATTTTCTTACTTGGCTTTTCGAACGGAGGGCTGCTGTTTCCTCGATTTTGGATTATCGGGTGGCCTTGTCCCACACCTTTCGTTTTTCCCAATACTGTAGTGTATTTATCTCTTCTACACTTTCCCTGTTGGTGCATTCCTTTTGGATTCATCGTCCTCTGTGGCAGGCTGCCCTTTTGGACTGGAATCTTAATGTGGTACTTCACTGTCTTTGTTCGAACAACTTTCCACATGCTCCTTGTTTCACCTTTTCCCTAAGACTTATTTCCTTCTTCTCTTAGCCTGTGGAAGTCGATGGTCTGATTTATTTCCCATCAATGTTTCATGTACTCTTTATCATCCTACATATATTCTCCGTTATCTGAATCGTTTTTTCCTACCCAAAACTTCGGCAGCTAGGGACGGTAACTCCTCCTTTTTGCCAATTTCCCTTATTTCCATTTCCCATCTTTATACTTGGACTGATCTGGATAGACTTCTATGTCCTGTACATGCTCTTCTCTGTTATATTGCCCTTCATGGTTTCCATTCCGTGGTTCCTATTCCTACCTCTTTATCTCTTGGCAACCATCCTCTATTTGTGAATTTTCTCTTTCCACCCTCACCAATTGGGTTTGGCTTTTGATTCAATTGGCTTATCCTCTCTATCATCTTCCTCCCGTTCTTTGTTCCAGGTGTCTTCTGATCAAATTTGACACCTTGCTTTTTCTCTGGCATCTTATTTCGTCATCTGCTGAAGGAAATTCTTCAATCAGGCATGTGAACTACTCTTACTATTTGCATAGGATTATGGTTTCTTTTTCTTCGGGCTATCGTCTTCTGCCTGTAGCCATTCTTCTGACTTCAATACTACTTTGACTGGGTAAGTTTGTTTTGTATTTTTCTTTATTTTGTTTTCAGGGGCATTAATTCCCTTTTAATTATTATCCCTCATCATTGGGATTCTGCTCTGTGGTGATTGGCACAAGGTCTCTGGTAGTTTTTTTCTTGTGATAAAATTGCTTTATGAGATTGCTCGTCTTGGACTGTACCTACCCATGGACTACATGGGTAAAGCAGAAAGGGATAGCTGCCTTGTATTGAATAAATTGTATGGTCTGCTTTTAATAATAGGATTTCGTGGTCACCCATTGCACTGTCTTAGGTGTTGACATTCCTCTGGACTCTCCACTGTGTTTTACCCCTCTTTTCTTCTAGTGGAGTTAGAGAGTTCTTATCACTTTCCAATTCCAAGCTGCTGGGGTAGTGAACCTTGGAGGCATCCTCCTGAATGTGATAATGAAATATAAACAGAATATAGAAATGATTATAAAACCATTCAGTTGAGATTAAGGCAGTGGTGTTTTGCTGGCATAAATGACATGATATCCTCCAGTATGAAACATAAAAAAACAAGGGAGTGAGATGTCAAAATTGCAGTTCACCCCTTCAGTTGGGAATCCTCATCCTACCCCACATGTGGAAGTCAGTTCCCAGTGGCTGGGTTTTGGATTTAGAGTAGAACAAATCAACATAAATCCTCACACATGTATTATTGATTTCTATATTCCTCCCTCAGTTGTACTCCATCAATGTTGTGGGTCACAATAGAGGTACTGGGGATTGTTATGATTCTTTCCCTTCTGCTATCCCTCAGTGTATCTTAATCCGAGAATTTTATTGCTCTTGAGTTGATTCCGGTAAGTTTCACTTTTGAGAAAGTTGATTTATATTATGTTGACATCTTTTCGATACCGGATGTCAGGTTTCTGGATTGATGTATTAATTTATCTTAGTCACATGTGCCCTGTTCAGGAGTCAGGGTGGTTCTAGATTCCTTCCAGTCTCTTGAACTTGAGGTGAAGATAGTATGATCCTCTTTGCTACCTCCGTCAGATGGCTGGGCTTTGGATTGTAGTTGAGTTGTCGGTGGTATGATCTTCTTTCCTATCCTCACATGGATGTCAGTACCTGGCAGCTGAGTTTTGGGTTGTATTTGAATTACCAACGGTATGATCCTCTTTCCTGTCCTCACATGGATGTCAGTACCTGGTAGCCGGGTTTTGAATTCTAGTTGACTTACCGATGGTATGATTCTCTTTCTTATCCTCACATGGATGTCAGTATCTGGCAGCCGGATTTTGGATTGTAGTTGACTTATCGACAGTATGATCCTCATCCTACCCCCTCGTGGATGTCAGTTCTCAGGAGCATGGGTTTTGAATTGTAGTTGACTTACCGAAGGTACGATTCTCTTTCCTATCCTCACATGGATGTCAGTATCTGGCAACTGGGTTTTGGATTGTAGTTGACTTACCAACAGTATGATACTCATCCTACCCCTCGTGGATGTCAGTTCCCAGGAGCATGGGTTTTGAATTGTAGTTGACTTGCCATATACACTCTGTTGCTCCCTAACCACTCTACACCTAGGGGCACATCCATTGCTTTTACCCACTTTTATATTTTATGGGATTGAGTTTCATAAATATTGCATGGTTCGGATCACTATCCAGCCATAATTCTCTCCCACTTGGATGTGCTTCTCTGTTTTTCCACCCATATATGTGACACCTTTCTCAGATGGACAAAGAGTATACCTAGTTCAGAAGTGGTGCAGTCTCCCACATCAGATTTTTGAATATGTCTCTCTCTCATCTCAAGGAGTGTCCTTTGGATGCTTTGTTCCTTCACACCGGTGCCTCCGCACATTAAAGGTGGGAGTTTAGCTATTTATATGAATGGGGGCAATGTACCCTTTAGGAAGTTATAATTTTCCTATATTGAAAATGTATTTCTGATAGGTACTTATTTCCTCCCCACTGAACACTGGTGCTTTCAATTTCTGCCCATACTCAAAGCAATAGTTAAGTAGAATTGAATAGAGAAGTCACATGCATAATAAGATTGTGTTGCACTCTTATTGGTGGAGGATTGTCACATGATGATTTGCATGAGAGACGCATTGGAATCAGTCAAATTCCAATGTAGGGGGGATATGGGCTTGTGGCATAAGTAAAAAATTATTTTGCATATAGAGGACAGTACAGAATAAGAATAGCTATTTATGTGAGTGGAGGCAAGTACCTATCGGAAATACATTTTAAGTATAGGAAAATTATAACTTTCATTAAATTAGTCTTGTTAAGGTTAAAGAAGTTATTTTATTTTTTTGTACCTAGCTTCCCTGATTTATAAATAATGAGTTAAGATAAAAAAAAGATTTCATAAAATCAAAATACCATCAACCACCAAGATTAACTCTTCCAATGTTATTACAATTACAGTGTAGATTCTTAGATTTTTATGTTATGGTTCATGGTTTCATTTGAAGCTGACTCGAGACAGCAAAAGCTTGTCAGTTTTATATGATTACACCTGAACTAACAAGGCTGTTTCTTTAAATTATTTTAAGTGTTAATTTCTTAAATTTTCTGTTACACATATAAATGATCATAAAGAATTGTGTGTAACTATAAAAAGTTGTTTACATTTTGGGGAGTTAAATCCTTTAAAAGATGTACTCAGCAAATTTCATTGGGACTATTAAAATGCATCAAAACCCTTAAAAACCACTCGAACACAGTATAGTGAATTAAATGACACAACGTTGAACACAGGAACTTGCAAAATCAGGTCTAACAAGTGATGAAAATCACGTTTGACTGTAGATGTCTACAAAATTCCTCTAAATTAGTTAAATTAAGAGAAATGTTATAACTAAGCATTTATAGTTGCAGGTTATTTTAATCGTTTATGTACTGCCTAATAAGTTTTCTTGCTTCATCAGCTTAGCTACATTGGGTTATGAAAATATCCACATTTGTAACCTCATGGTGCACCAAATTATATTTAGAGTCAAGTTCTGGGAGTGGGCCTCTTGATCTAAAGTGCATTTTGACTTATTTTTATAGACCTGTGGAAGATGATGTTGCTAAATGTAAATTGAAAGAACTTAAGCATGAATTACAATATACAACACGAATGCTGTAATTGAAACACTTTTGTTTATAGTTTACTTTTCAAAGTTCTTAAGACTGCATTGCATTTATAGAGCTGTTTATTGCTGTGACTGACATGTTATACAGCAATCACTGTGAAGAAAGATGTAAATGTATATATAAAAAATACAAGTTCATTGTATCAAGTGATGGACTGAGTATAGTTTTGAGCCACAGGCAGGGTACAAAGAAAGACATTTTTATTTCCCCACAGTTGTACTACTTACGTTTACCCAGGGATATTAAAGATTATCAGATTATTTTGATGGATGCGACAGTTGCTAGTGGTGCTGCAGCCATGATGGCAACACGGGTATTGTTGGATCATGATGTTCCAGAAGATAACATTCTGTTCTGTTCCTTATTAGCTGCAGAATCAGGTAAAACAACTTAATGTGTTAAATCAAGTTCTAGTAGTTGCTGTAATCCTTATAGTATGGTACTCTGAGTTTGTTGAATCTACACTTTTAAGATACAACTGCTATACAAATGGAAATTTTACAGTCAGCTTTCTTGAAGTTTTGTTTACTGAAATATTGGTACAAAGAGCATTTGCTTACCCTTCTGTGTAAGTCATTAAGGTATGAATTCTCACATTATACATTTTGTATAATTGAAACTAAAAGTTAAATGTGATTGAGATTTCAAATTACTTAGAAGTAACAGTTAAGGAAAATAAATACAATTTCATTCAATCAAGTCCATAGCTTTGAAATTAAACTTTAATTTGATCATAATTTCAACCAAACCATTCATCCTATGAACATATTGTACTTTCATTTACTTACTAACCACTAAATAAATAAATATATAAAGTAATAATTTTTGAATACAAAGATAGCTTGTGTTGCAGGTAATTACTTGGTCAGCCTGACACCAAGATGTAGCTGCTGTTCACAACAAGTCAAAATTGGGTTTTTACAAAGTCATATGTTGCAAGTAATTTATTACTGTGAACACTTTGTGAAATGATAAAGCTTAAAATGTAAATGAATTTATTTGAAAGTAGGATTTTTAAATTCATGTATTCAGAATGTGTGGTTTCATAGTATGTATGTGTATGTATTGATAAATGTGCATACTATAAAGAATACGAAACAGTTTGAATAATGTTTTTTTAGGTGTTCATACAATTGCCTATGCTTTTCCAAAAGTCCATATTGTGACTACAGCAGTTGATCCAGAAGTGAATAAAAAATTTTACATCTTACCAGGAATTGGTGAGTAAATAGTTTGTTTTGTCAGAAATAATTTTATGAAATATCAATTTCTTTGTGTAAAATTTTCTATGAGAAACTTTTTAAGACTTGTTAATGGTTTGAAATTTAAAAGAAATTATTTATTTGTATGTTATATTTTAGTTGTGTTTACTTATCACAGTGAACCTCTGTTTATATATTATTGGAGTAATTTGTAATAGCTTGTTTGCTGAATAATCTAGAAGAATAAATCAATAGTATAAATGCTACATATTCTTCAAATCCTGTATAAACATATGTTCACCACTAGAAGAAGCCTAGACTTATTTTATTGATTTGCTCTTGTCAAGGGCTACTGGTAAAACTGGTATAACTCAGTGACAAGTGGTGAATCAAATAATTATTTAGGCTTCATATTAATTTTAAGTAATTTATTTGTGAAAGAAAATGTAAAACAAATCTTGTTTTGGTTTATGTTTTCAGTATTCCTCCATTTAATAACACCAAATATCAGAGCTTAATCCCAACACTAGACACAGGACAGACAGCCAATTGTGTAACTTTGTGCTAAAACAAATCTAATGTTTTGAGTAACCCACTATGAAATAGATTGATTAAAATATACCATTTGTCATAGTTATGAATTTCATGCATTATGTTTCTGCTCCCTAAAGAGGAACAATAATAATTTTGCTATACTTCAAAATTTTATCTTTTATATAAAACTTGCTGTCTTTAGTTGTTGTTGCTACTGTGTGAAGTAAAATATAATTCTTGATAACTATTGTATTTACGTAAGTAAATTTTAGGGATTTTTTTTCAACAGTCCAATACAAGATTAATGAATGGTTTACCATATTTACTCATAAAAGAGATGTTAGTTTTAACATATCTGACATTAATTAATGCTGTTTATTTTTAGGTAATTTTGGTGATCGATACTTTGGCACTGAGGCATCGTAGAGTAGGAGCAACATTCTGTTGAAATAAAAATGTTCCATCCCATAAATGTAGGAGATAAGTTTACAGTTTTTTTTTAAGTAGTCACAGAAAATAATTTACTAAACTCATACAACGTGTGTTTAAAATCTAGTCTTGCCATGTTCAACCATAGCTCTTATAATGCTAGTTTTGTTGTTTACACAGCAGATATTATATATATATATATATGAGAGACAGGCATATTTGTTTTACAGTTTCTTTAAACCTAAAAATATATACCTTGTTTAATATAATTATTTCAGAGAGAGGGTTTTATTTTGTGTAACAGCATATATATATTGCAGAATCAAGAGGTTGAAGTGATATGTAATTCATGTTTAGAAATTAATAGAATCTATTGTTGTGCAAAGTATTTTTTAATACTTTACACTGTCCTTTTAGTAAGGTATGTGATACTATGCTATGATAGATATATTAAGAACAGTAAGCACTTAAGTGTCTTTAATATGATATTGAAAATTTGAAATTAGGCCTAAAATGTAATTGTTTGTCTGCTGTTGGCAACCATGAACCAAGACATTTTGGGAAGTGTGGGTTGCTGAAGACATTTTTTATGTATTTGTTTTATGGAAATATTCAATACAAAATGGCTTGAGGACAAAAACTAGAAGCAATGGGGATAAAGCATCCCAAAACCTGCTTCCAGTGTTCAGTAGACCTGAAGCTGCTGCAAAATGAAATAATTAGTACTGTAACTCTTAAAAGCCTTATTTTATGCACACATATAATATGTAAGTGAAAACTGTTACAAGTGAAAAATAAGACTTTTTATGCAATATCTGAACTATGATTGTGAATTTTAGAAACTTTACATTGACCAAAAAAACTGAAAGGTGATTTTATGACTAACGTTAAAAATATTTTTATTCAATATACAGTTTTCATATTTGATTTGTAATAATCTCTAGAACCTTGTAAATAAATACTTATGAATTGACAAAGAAATATATAACAAATTTGAAAACATACATAAAAGTAAATATTAGTAGTACTCCCTGTGTGATCTGCTTGCACTTCTGTACCAGGTGCTCCCTAGGGCTATCCCTGAGTGCTCTTCACAAATGTCAGATTAGAAAAAAATAACTTCTATAACTTTAAAATGTAATATAGAACACACAAAAATATATCAGTTGATAGAATAAAATATTCCAAAAATACTAAATATTTACTATAATTCTATTTCAGTTACAAGTATGTTAAGAAAAATTTATTTCCCACTTGCAACAATGCTCCAAACTTGCTCTTCGAGAAGTAAATTATGACAGAGAAAACAGCCAGGTCTATTTCTTTTTATAGTTTTTTAAAATTTTCGTTGCTGACTGAAAGATTAAAACCATATTTGACAAAGAGAAAAAAATCAACTTCAGAAAAAAAAAAGTTTTAATTAAAACCAAATTTCAGCTTCTACCTTTTTGAGGATCTTTGAATTTCACAGGCTACAAATCTGACTTCTAAATGACAGTGACAACAAGATATAGTGCTCATTGAAATACTAAAGGTATTGTTTAACAAAATAGATTTGCCGATCAAATTAATAAATTCAGTGTAAATTATTATGAAATGTAAAAAAAAACAGCTGTTTGACTTGCATTGAAGTGAAAGCCATAGATGTATTTCTCAAAATCTCTGCTTTCTGTTGGTTATAAGTTATTATACAGTTTGCAAGGAAATTCACAGAGAGGTTGGTATGGTTTACCCACATAGTTAGAAAGATTTGTTGATTTCTCAGGCCAACAATGAAGTAGATGCTTAAAGTCTTGTAGTTTTACTTGTTTTAAAAATTGGTTTTACTTATAATTGACTGGAATTATTAGTAACAATTTTGTCATTGCTATCACTCACCTTTGCTGGCACAAAATATATATATAAGGAAAAAGGAATAGGGATTTCAGTGAAATTTCCGTAGCTGTCCCTACTTCTTAAAGAAGTTAAGGTAAGCATTTTTTTATTTACTGTTTAAACAGGGTGTTTCAAAATTGTTGAAACATATCTGCTGTTTTATAGATTGTGGATGTCAACTAGTTGGTTAATGGTGAGTCAGAAATTTGATGTTTCCCAAAAATCATTTTCCTTGTTGCCTTCTGGTTCGGCATGATTTAGTCTGCTGTTTGAGCCTACACTGCACTTATAGAAAGGTAGTAATGGTCAATTGGTTATTAACCAAATTTGTGTTATTAAACTCAAAATAATGTTTGAGTCATTTTATGCAGTCAGAGTACATTTTGATAAAATTTTAGTTTTCAAAAACTTTCAGTACAATTAAAAACTTTTTACCAGCAAGCATTGCTTATATATTATAAAGCCAACTAACGTTTAAGAATGAAGCAGAGGTGAAAGTGAAAATAAAAGAGTGCAGAGGCCTGAAAAACTTCAAAATAGAAGTACTCAGTATAAATTTAAAAAACTGAAAGGAAAAATATTCACAAATACATATAGAGTACATATTAAAATCACGAAAACAATATGTATGTATATGTAACATATATATACATACACTTACATCATGAAAGTATCAACAGTAATGATTATTTAAAAGAGAAAGAAATTATCTACCTACCCATCATTTAGAGGAGTGGGTTGCCAACAGCAAACAATTTTTTTAAGTCTGGCCTTACCTTATTATATAATCTATTACAATGGGATAAAATCTTTGTAAGATACCCTTAGTTTTCCTGCTAGTGAACTTCTTTCATTCTTAAATGCAGGATGGAAATGAAGCCTATAAAAAAGACAAAAAAAATATTTTTGTAGATTAATAGAACTTCAAATTGGGTACTTTATCAATAATTATACAAATGTTTTTCTTTGGTTTCAGTAATTCTTGTGGAAAGACTGATATTTGTAGAAAAATCGAATTATAATTTCAAAATTATGGTTTAATGAGCATAATTATATTGTACAGTATTTTCCTCTCATTATTCCACAAAAATTGCCAGGAAACTTTGTGGACCAGTAAATAACTACTAGTATTTATCCAGTAACAGCCTTGTTTTTCAATATAAGTGTAACACATCACTAAATCCAAACTGTTTAAAAATTTGTGATGATTTTTGTTATCCAAGTATTATGAGGTATATGAAGACATTTACTCACTTTTGATGATGGTGAATACAAGCAAGTTTCCTCAAGCATTAAAACATTCTTGAGACTTAATGCCATAAGAAGTTTAGGTTTTATTGAAGGCTTATTCAGGAAAATTAAGATAATAATGAGCTGTATATTCTGCATTTAACTTAATATTCTCAACGATGCTTCAGATTTTTTTGGGGTGGTGGTCATGGTTTACAGAATATAAAATGTATTTGATATAAGCCTAAATGGGTCAGCATATTACACTTCCTTTTACAGAGCAGATAGTAATCCATCCATTGGAAATTCTAAATAGTCAATTTTTTTTTTCATTTTCATAGTACAGATAATATTTGAATGGCTAAAGATAGAGATTTGTCTTCAAAGTCCCACATGAGCTCATGCACTTGATAGGTGGTATGAACCCAAGATCAACTCTTTCTTCAGCCATGTGAAGTATCTATATTAAATATTCAAGTAGTTTAGTAACATATTCTGGATCATCTAAATGTGTAATATGAAAAATATCCATCTATTTTTTGTAAATTGTGGTTGCCACCATACTCGATACCCACTTACAGTAATATCATACTTACAAAGAACAGCCAAGACTACTTGTAGCAAAAATAGATAAAAATAAAACCATAGTAAATAGATGGAGAACATGTACCAAAGCTTTAGCAATGAAATGTAATGTTGCAATCAAGAATCAGAATTATGAAGATGGTAACACTTTCATAAACAACACTCCATGATAGGAATCAGAATATAATAATTTAATAGAAAGTAAATTAGACAAAAAATTAGAAATTTCAATTAATCCATCTGATCACTGTTTCTAAACCACACCAACTGATGAAGAGAACTGCGAGTAATTATTGTAAAAAATTAGTTAATCTTATCTTTCTTTAATTTCAACACATTTAAGAGACATGGTCCCAGCTGTAGTAATATAATCTTCTTTGATCAAAAGAACTATAAAATATTTTTTTCAGATGATACAAGAAAACTGAATTTCAATTCTTGTTATAAGAGGTATTTGAGATATTGTAATCACCTTGTAAAACACAACCTGTTTCTTGCTATTTCTGAACTTTATAAGATTACTACACAATTTTATTCTTAGTAAGTGTCCAGTGGAAACTTTAAATGTTTCACTTGACATCTTAATGAATTGAGGCATTCTGATTTACCATTCTTTGTGTGTGTGTGTGTGTGTTTTATGGCTTTCTTTACTTTTTGACATACACTGGTTAATCATTTTTCTACAGCATCTCTGGCAATGCTTAATGTTGTGCTTTTATGTTACAATGTTCCCTGATTCTCTCCAAGATACAATTTATGGCTGGAATGACACCTTTGAATTTGAAGAACTAATATAGTCTTACAGTATGCTTGAAAACATTCTTAACTTGAAGATAGATATATCTAAATTCTTTGTTTAGGTCTCCCAACTATGGGATTGGTATAATTAAAAAGATGCTTATTCTGTTGCAACATAGTGATTAGTACCCCAGAATTATTCCTAAAAATAAATCAGTATTGTTATGAATTATCAAGACTGCCATGAGTGAAATATGAGTTTGTGATTAGATGTACCAATCAGTTTATTTTCATTGTCAGGAACTCGAGTGTCAAGAAAAAGTAATGCAGTCTCTTTGTGATATTTCATTGTAAATTTAATATGACTATATTTGCCATTCAGGTAGTAAGTAATCATTGAAAACCACATTTTTAACCTCATGGTGTACCAAATTATATTTAGTGTCAAATGCAAGGAGTTGGCATTTTGGCTTATGTTTATAGATGTGTGGAAGATTATGTTGCTAAATGTAAATTGAAATAACTTAAGTGTGAATTACAACATGTAACATGGATGCTATAAGCAGAATCAACACCATTATTTTGATCACATACTTAGAGATATCTTCTATCATGGCAACTTTGAAAGCCTCCCAGTGGCTCAGTGGTATGCTAAAAATTGATTTCAATATCTATGGTGGGTACAGCATAGATAGCCCATTGTGTAGCTTTGCTTTTAAAAACAAATAAACAAGCAAAACAACTCTGAAACTGAGTAATCAGTGAGTTATATAGAAATTTAATTGCAAAGATATATTTTTCTGATGCTGAAATG